TTATAGCACATCTTGATCTAGGTGCTAAGTTTCCAGATCACACATGATGGTTCCTGTCTGTAAACCCAGCAGTGGGGAGGCAGAAGCAGGTGATCGATTTGAGGGCAGCCTGGGAAAGAGAGAGAGAACTCAGGGCCAGTCTGAGCTACATAGCAAAACCTCATCTAGAAACAAAGCCGGCTGGGACTGGGGCTCCGAGGTAGCCTCCTGGCACTTGCCTAACTTCCTAACAGGTGCAGAGCCCTGTGTTACATCCAGAGCACCCCACACCCCAAAATTGATCTGGGGGCCTGGGCGAGTTGCTCAATGGTTAGGTACTTGCCTAGCATGCAAAGGTCCTGGGCTTACAAATATTCCCCCAGCACTGCAAATATTTGTATATTTTTAAAATTCATACTAAGATTTTATAAAAGATACAGGTTGATGAAAGTAGACTCACCTGCCTACTTTGTTTCCAGCATGCTTCAGTGTCTCCAACAACCAAATGTAGTATCTTCCTTAAACATAGTCACAAGTAAATATTAATTCCTGCTTCCTTGGTTACCCCAAGTGCTCCATGGTCACACAGAAGTCAACTGCTGCCCTGGTGGATCCTCAGTCAAGCACAGTTAGATTTTGATCTTCCCTAAGTTTGTTCACTCAGGAAGAGCCTAAGAATCTCCATTTCCAAGAGAAGTCCAGCTGCTCTGGGTACTGATGGGCCTGAGCCCCCTGAGACCCAATGCATTCAGCAGTGACCAGTGCTGCCTGGTCCTGCTGTCAGTCCTTTGTTTTTTGTTTTTTTTTTTTTAAGATTTTTATTTATTATATACACAAGATTCTGCTTCCATGTATATCTGGAAGCATGTATATACCAGATCTCATAACAGATGGTTGTGAGCCACCGTGTGGTTGCTGGGAATTGAACTCAGGACCCCTGGAGGAGCTGTCAGTGCTCTTAACCTCTGAGCCATCTCTCCAGCCCCGCAGTCCCTTGTTTCTACAGAGGAAGTCTCTCTTTGCTTACCATGATACCAGTACTTAGGAATGTCTCTTTCTTCTCTCAGGATTTGAACACAAGATCACCGTCCAGGCCTCTCCCACCCTGGACAAGAGGAAAGGATCCGATGGGGCCAGCCCTCCTGCCAGCCCCAGTATCATCCCCCGGCTGAGGGCCATTCGCTGTGAGTATACATAGGGCCCTCACAGTCAGTCAGCAAACCCTGAGTACATTGCTGGCATTCCTGGCTACAAATACATCAATAAGCATCGTCATTTCCAGGAAGAGAGTAGATGATAAGACATTGGTGCTGGCAGTGTGTGTGTAGTTCAGGGGTAGAGCCTGTACTTGGCACATTATAAGCCTTATAATATTCTGTCCCAGCACCAAACATAGAGAGGTGAGGAGTGTATTAGGGTTGACCCGAAGATGGGGGTCCCAGGTCAAGTTCCCAAGGCAGGACCCCCCTGCCTCTTTGTGCTGTTTGGGCCTGGAGTGGAATGAACAGTGCCACCTCATGGGAGAAGGTAGAGGCTTGGTCTGTCCATTCAAATGCTGTCTTTCCCAGAACCACTCTTGCTTACCTGGAGTTTAGCAGCGTCAGACATCCTCAGCCCAGAAAAGGGGGGTCACAGAAAGGCTGCTGCTGCACAGCCGCAGGGCCTGAGGTGCCATCTGACAGTGCCTATACTGGCAAAGAATGTGCCTGCCCCGGGGGAGGGGACAGTGGCCCTGGCAGGAGGAACAGGCTAGGCTAGGAAGGAAAATGACTGGTAGAGTAAGTAGGGGAGGAATGTTCTGTGGAAAGGGGGATGCAGGACCAGAACATACAGCCCTGGAGACGCAAAGAATCTGAGTTTTAAAATTGTATTATTTGTTTGTTTGTTTGTTTTGTTTTTCGAGACAGGGTTTCTCTGTGACTTTGGAGGCTGTCCTGGAACTACCCCTTGTAGACCAGGCTGGTCTCGAATTCACAGAGATCCTCCTGCCTCTGCCTCCCGAGTGCTGAGATTAAAGGTGTGGTAAATTGTATTATTTTTTTTAAAGATTTGACTATTTATTTTTATGTGTTTTGCCTATGTCCATGACTGTACACCATGTGAGTAAAGAAACCAGAAGAGGGAGTCAGATACCCCTGGAACTGGAGTTATAAATGGCTTTAAGCTGTCATGTGGGTGCTGACATCTCTCTAGATCCTGATTTTTTTTTTTTAAATGTTTGGCAGTACCCAAGGCCTCATGTGTGTAAAGCATGTGTTCTACAACTGAGTTTTGCCCTTGTCCTTGGGTGTGTGTGTGTGTGTGTGTGTGTGTGTGTGTGTGTGTGTGTATGCGCGTGTGCATGCATGCATATGAATTTGTGGATGTGTAAGTATGCCTGTGTCCGTTTTTGCATAGGCATAAGATGTGAAATGGGAGATTTACCTTAAAAGTTGACTTGAGGATAAATTTGTACTTAAAACCAATTCATGCTGGATCAGCCTTTCTGTTCTTCATGTACCCAGATACTGGGGGGGTACACTTGAATGGGAACCATCCAAATTTGGTTATCTCTTTTGGCTTTTTTGGGAGGCTCACTACCCAGTTCCCAAACAAAGACTCACACACGGAGTCTTTTTAGTTATGAATGCCCGGCCTTAGCTTGGTTTGTTGCTAGCCAGCTTTTCTTAACCTTAATTAACCCGTCTACCTTTTCCCTTGGGGCTTTTGTCTTTCTTCTGTATATCTTACTTCTTACTCTGTGGGCGGCTGGCCCCTGGCCCCTGATGTCCTCCTCCCGTTGTTCTCTTGCTCTCGTGTTCCTTGTTTCTCCTATTTATACTCTGCCTGCCAGCTCCACCTATCCGTGCTCCTGCCTTGCTATTGGCTGGCCGTCTAGCTCTTTATTAGCCCATCAGGTGTTGTAGACAGGCAAAGAATCACAGCTTCACAGAATTAAACACAGTATAAACAAAAATCATGCACCTTAAAATAATATTCTACCACCATTACCAAGGGTGGAGAGATCTATACTATTTGAAGATGTGAAGTCCATGAAGCCTGGCATAGGTTGGGGGTCGGGGGTTCTGTTTGGAGGGGCACATGCAGGTGAAGGAATGGAGCTGCCCAGTGAGTCAGTCCAAGGGGAGAGTCAGAACCAGTCAGATGCAATCCCAGACTGCTCAACTTGTCCCTTTGTTTGCCTGCCTTAGGGTCTCATGTAGCCCAGGCTGGCCTGGAACTTACTGTGTAGCTAAGGATGATCTTGAACTCGAATTCCTGATCCCCCCACCCACCTCCACCTCTGCCTCCACCTCCCCGGTTCTGAATTACAGGCAGGTGCCACCATGCCCAGTTTATACGGTGCTGGGAGGCAAACCCAGGGCTTCCTGTTTAAGAGGCAAACGCTCCAAACTGAGGCCCAGTTTGTTTTTGATGTAAGATGGTCTCACTTTGTGTTTCAGGATAGTCTATAACTCACTATTTTTACCACAGTAACTTCTTCGTGGGTGGGTGCACTTGTGGCCTGGCGTGTGAAGATCAGGGGATAACCTGATGGGAGTCAGGTCTCTTCCACCAGAGAGCCACACAGTATGACAGTAGAACCAGGGCGAATTCGGGAGCATGGTGGAAAGAGAACCACTGTCTGCAGAGCTCAGGGCTGTCAAACCAGAGTGAGCTGAAGGCTTTGGTAGGGGCGTGAGGACACAGGGCTTCAGGGGTTCTGGAGTTGGGTGCACGGAGAGCTTAAGGGGGATCCAACTGCCTTGTTGAGTTGCGGGGGCCGGGGGTGCTCATAGCAGAACGTCAGGAATGGATTTACAACAAGAGTAGCTGTCAGAAAGGTCCCTAGGGCTGCCAGGGGTCTCTCATGACTCACTCGCCACTTCTCTCCACCCAGTGACTCCCATGGACTGTGGCGGCAGCAGCGGCGGCGGAACGTGGAGCCGAAGTGGACCACCAAAGAAGGAAGAACTGGTTGGGGGCAAGAAGAAGGGCAGGACGTGGGGCCCCAGCTCCACTTTGCAGAAGGAGCGGGCCGGAGGCGAGGAGAGGTATGGGTGGACCCCTGCCCGCCTGCCCCTGTGCCTGTCTAACCAGTCCCTGACCCCGTCTCCCTGTGCCCCGTGCAGGCTCAAGGCCCTGGGGGAAGGATGCAAGCAGTGGTCCTCGAGCGCCCCCAACCTGGGCAAATCCCCCAAGCACACCCCCATGGCCCCAGGCTTTGCGAGCCTCAATGAGATGGGTAAGAGATCGCGGGTGCTCTGGGGGAGTGGAGGGGGACGAGGTGGCCGAGGTGAGACATGCCCAGAAGAAACAGCAGCTACTGCCCGAGGGCGGGGCGCTCATTTTTAGAAGCAAGGCTTTGGGGAGAGAGATTTGAGGATGACCCTTGGTGGCCTCCGGAGAATGTGGGTCTCGTCCTGGCCACCAGTTCTGGGGCAGGTGAGAAAGGGAGGGTTCAGCCGAGTGATGGACCTCTCCGGTTGCAGAAGAGTTTGCGGAGGCAGATGAAGGCAACAGCGTGCCCCC